CAATGCAGCGAGAACATGTGCATTTGTTATATCTAAGGCAGTTAAAGAGACATTACATTGCTCAACACCCTCTCATTCTGAAACAAAATACCAAAAATAAAAAACATTGCATAGGAATAAAGGTAAACATACTTAACTTTTGATATATTTCACCATAACAGACATACAGCTACATCTAGCGGCAATAAAAAATACTAATTAAATGTTCTATCTAAAAAGTCAAATGTGGTATGCCCAGCCATAGAATGAACTAAATGGTGATTCAAATATGACACACCCGGTCGTGAGATAACGTTTGCTGCTGATGCATATATGACACGCTCGTACTGAACAGGTTAACCATCGTAAAAGATATTTCAGACCCTGCAATGCTATGTGCACATAATAATGGCTTTATGTTACATTTTTTGAAATGTAAGTAAAAACACTTACGATCTTAAAACAAATTCTAAAAAATAAAGTTCCACAAAATTGGTTTTTACCATTTTCATAATTGTTCAAAATTTTAGATATCTTTTCAAATACAGGATTAATAACCGGAAAAATCTTGCATAATGCAAATTCAATGTGTCTGGTACTGAGTTTAATACTATTTTTATACTTTGTATGAATTTCTGATAATTTAACAGAAACAAATAAAAATATTTTTGTAACAACTTTATGCAGTATTAAAATTTAGACTAGTAATAAAATTTTGTATAAAGGAGATGCTCTACTCCACAGATGTCAACATTCAATCTGGATTTTTCCAAGAAAAGGTTAAAATGTGTCTTGTTCTGAATACCTATATTAGTTTAGGAATTGAAATATTTTATTAGTAATATTTGCTAAATTTCATATTAGATTATTATTAAATGTGAATTTCTTCATCCTTTTTGGTATCAATAAAAATGTCAGGTCTCTTTGTCATTAGATGAAAAACTTTTGAGACTTTCCTATTTTGTTTCAAATCTGAAACTAAAATAAAGATTAGAACTACTGATTAAAACGTTTGAGAGGTAGTTTCCATATACATTCAGCAATGAATGAAAAATTGATTTAATGCTGATGATGTAAGAGAAAGCCTGAAAGTCTACTGAAATCTCAATAAGGAAATTGCAATCCATCACAACTGCATGATGATATTAAAAAAATACAGTGCTATTCAAACTTTTTAAGGCATTAAATAAAAATTTAATTTTCGCCTAGAATTGTTTTTCAAAATATTAACTGAAACCATTCCTGTTTATTGTATTTTCACAATATGATATAGTTTTGCACATATTGATAAATCTGCCAATAATGGTGAGGTTACATTTTCCCAGTTATAATTAAAGCTCTTATAAAATTTATGTAATCACCATTAAAAATATGTTCATCATATTTTACTTTGCATATTTTCATTAAAGACTATACATACATGAATAGATAGATAAAGTATTGGGCTAATTTTATGAAGCATTTTATATTGATTTAAGTCTACAATTATTTAAATTAAATCTTATATATGTAGGGTGATCAAATATGAAAGAGCTTTTATTGGGTAAGAGTAAGGATGGATATTCGTACGTGTTTGGGCAATTGCAGTGGTTTGGTTGGGTTGCCTAGAGCAAAGGAACCACAGTAGCCGGTTTGTCTTGTGCTTTATTTAGTAGCAGTTACGATAAGCAAGAGGAGTGTGCCTGTCTCTACTGAGCAACTCATAATTATAAAGTTCCTCGTCCATGAAAACAGCTGAAATTTACTGCAGACTGCATGCCCAGTTCGGGAAAGCTATCTTTTCATGGTGAAGACTGAAGGTGAAGGGGTGCAACTAATTCAAGCAAGGCCTTGAACATGAATGTAAATCAAGGTCATCTCCATCGTCCTCGTACCAGTGCAAGTAATGAAAACATTGTACGTGTTTGTGAGCTTATCAAATGGGATTGCCACTGCTCAATGCTTCAGATTTTGGAACAACTTGGTGTCAACTATTGAAATGTCTAATCAGTCATCAGAAAGCAGTTAAGCTTCAGAAAAATCTCAGCTCATTGAGTTCCAAAGGTGTTCAATAATGAACCGAAATTTGCATGCATTTGCATTTCTCAATTGCTTCAAACTTGTTTTGAAGAAGGGGAAGGAATTTTTTGTATAAAGTCACCTGTAATGAGACATGGGTATATAGCATTACATCCCCAATCAAAGCGTGCAAGATAGAGTGAAGAAAGAAAGGCAATGAAACACTGTGAAAGCCAAAACTCAATTGTCTGGAGTGTTTGGCCACAGTTTCTTGGGATTGAAAGGGGGTCCTGTGCATTTCTTACACCGGACATCAGACCATCAACATAATCTACTGTAGTCTTTTGGATCAAATTAGGCTTCAGTATCAACTGTCCCATCCAGGAAGTGTAGTTCCTCCACAACAATGCTAGGCCCCACATAGCAGGAATAATGCAGCAGAGACTGTTGAAAATGCTTGATTATCCATCTTACAGTTCAAATTTATTGCTATGCAATTTTCAGATGTTTGGACCCTTCAAAAAAGGACTCAGAGGCAAGCGTTTTGAGACCAATGATCAAGTGGAAACATTTGTGTGCAACTGGTTAGATACCAATCAACTTTCATTCCACAAGAACTGAATGAAAAAAATTACCAAAACACTGGGGAAAATGCATCATAAAAGGATGCAATTATTTAGAAAAATAATTAATAAAAGTGTAAATGTTTCCTACAAAATAAATTTTGTTTAAAACAAAAGGCTTGTTTATATTTGATTCCCCTCCTCATATATGCTTAATTAGATTTAGTACATGTAAAACTGAAAATATGATTCCTATGAAATAAAATCTGCTTAAGTATGTACAAGCAGGTGTATAACAATTATACAATTCAGAAGCTATAACATGAAATATTTATTTAGGAAAAGACATAATAAATGTGTTACACAAAATTTTTTTCACACTTATTTTAATACAAATTTTATAAAACAGCTCTAAACAACTTCATTGATATTGTTGAAATTAACAATTTCAAATTTCCAAAACTTTTAAAGATAATTTGTTTTGGCTTTTGGATGAGATTCTGCAATTTTTCAATTGCATGCAAACTTCACACTAAGCAAAGATGACAACTAATCAATAAAAGTGATCTATGTAAATAATCTGATACACCAATTACATGTACATTACATGCCTTTAAAATACAACTTCAGCATTAAAAATTTTATACTGACATATAAACACCCATTATGTATTTCCAAAAAACTGCACATAAAAAATAGGTGGTTGCATTGCAATTCACTCATGGACTTAAAACTTTTTAAATGCATTACTTTTTAATACAAAAGCATCACCTTATTTACTTAAGTTTAAAGATCAGCTGCATGCAAAGCTTTTTCTTTCCTAGGATGAAATTCTCAAATTTTGAAAAAGTTCTATGTTAATTTTTAGTAGAGAGGGAACGATTCAGTATAATGCAATGATGTTTTACATTTCATGTACTATAAATGCAATATTCATGCTTACAGAATTACATAAATAAACATTTGACACACATAAAGCAAGTTATTTATGTGAAGCACTCAAGTAAATACGTTAAAATGGATACAGAAATAAAATTGCATGAAATACTGATGCAGCAATTTTATTTTTCAAACTAAACCACTATGTGCATTGAGATTCTTATCCTATCAATATGTAAGAGTCTTAATGCCTGCTACATGCAAGTTTTTAGATTCCTGCTAAGAGTCCATGAGTATAAGCCCTGGCATTCTTGCGATAGAACAATAAGCTGACACAGCATACACTAGTAAAAAGTTGCAACATGATGCAGCAACCACATTCACTCATCTCTGAAAAATGGACTAGCAGCACAAGAAAAAAAGCGTTACAATATACTCCTCCACCAACATACATACCTTTAACCTGAGCTATTTTCATATAGTAATGAGACAATCTGAATGATTGAGCATCACTCACTGATGCAGTAAAGTAATAGTACTATTACCTGCTGACAGTTTTTGAAACCACTTAATACTGTTCCTTGTTATCTCAAAGTAGCCTGCAACATATTTACTGACTTTTCCTCCTAATTATTGCTTAATATTAGAGATTTTGTATCAAATGAAATTTGCAGCTTGAATATACATACTTTATGCTCATTAGGAAATATTTTTAAAGGCTTATAATTTTGAAGACTTCCTGAAAGTGAAATAAGTTCTCTGAAAAATCTGCTTTAAAAGCCAAGATCTGTATTTTACTCATACTGCCTTACTCATTCATATAAAGCATATCCATAGTTTTTGTAAAGTTAAGGCTTGGCATTAAATAGAGATTTCAGAGAAGGAAGTAAACAATAATTTTCAACAATTACCATGTTATGTATTTTTCATATGTTGATCTCTTAGCGACTACTTTCAAGCATTTCTAAAATTAGATTTTTTTATCTTATGATTACAGCATTTCCAAAGTAAAAATGACACTCCCTCATTGTTATTAATTGTTGGCATTAAATATTTATGCTCTATTTGATGGAATAAATGCTTTTTCTGTTTTTAGATTGAGTATTTTTTTATAAAAAAAAATTCTTAATTTTTATAGTAAAGGCTATTTTATAGTAAAGGAAAAACTTAACATAGAATTAAAAAAAAATCATTTACTCTATACCCTTAGAATTGTTTTGCATCAGAGTACTGTTTCCGTAAACCATATAAACAGAAAAATAGCTTTCCTGCAAAAGATGTATTTTCTGGTCAACAAATATGTTTCAGAATACTGGAATTTATTAACAGCAATAAAATATTTTAAAAGCTTATTACAATAAAGTTAACAATAATAAAATTTCCTAGACATGAACAATGCATATTGTGTATAGGAAATACGAGATTGATGCCCAAGCCTTTTTAATGCTCTTAAATTTGATAGATAAAATAATATCACATCTATATTTTTCCCACTTAACAAAAAATATTGAATATATATAAACACTGTGAACAGTTATAATATGAAAGGAATGTGTTTTCATAAAACAAATATGTTTTGTTTCAGTGATTTGCAACATAATCATCTACTCCATCACTTTCTGTCACCAAAGCTCTTTCAAGTATTACACGTCCTTCCTTGTAACGCTGGTTTTCTTCTGTTGCAAATTCATATATCCAACCAAGTTTTGCTTCACAGTTTTTACATGAAACATCTCTGACCATATGCCGCCCTGTTAGCATCACACGGTCTTGAACCTCACTGAAAACAAACGCAAAAAATAACAAAAATAAATAGTGTCCTTTTCTACACATTAAAATTTATTGAAGAGTTTGAAATAATATTCAATACATCCACTGTTATCAATGCAGCTATACTGTGTAATTTTATGACAATTAACATAATTTATTCTTATGCTATGGATAGAATTTATATGCATTCTAAAAACTCTGAATTTGATGCCCAGTTATACATGTTCAGTAAATTGCTAAAATTATGATTTTAACTAATACAGTTTGATATATTAATGAAAAATGTATTATATTTAAAAAATAGAAAATCTTCACAACATACTTCATGCTTAAACATAATATACTTGACAGACTGAATTGCTAATAGAAAAGCATTGTTGTGCAAATTTTCGGTATTGTCCCAACTGGCGATCTACTGGATTTTGTTTGTTAGTTATTCAGTTTTATACTAGATGGTGCCACCTCTTTACCAGACTATTTTTTTTGTAAAGCAATGTTTATGCTTATCGTTTCTTTCACATGCAATTTTTCCGTTAAATCAGCGCAGTTTTTAAAATACCGTCTTCAAATCTTTGTTATCAATTTACTCTCAAATAGAAATAAATATTTTCCACGTTCACATTACAAGGAGTTGAAATAAGAGGTGTTAGTGTGTATTTAATTATGGCAAAGCACACAAGGACTATCTGCCTAAGGGGAGGGATGCCTTTGTGGAGGACTTTCTTAGGGAAACTGGCTCGTATACATGTTACACATGGGGAAAACCACAAAAACGCCCATGCAGTCAGCCCGTTTGCGGGATTCGTACCTCAGACCGAACTACCAGTACCGTTCGGCCGCTGGTGGGCGAGTTGAAATAAGAAGCAAATGAAATAACTTATCTTAAGCAGCAACAGTGTTAATTTATCTCTCTTAAATTCATTACCTCATTTTTTGATACTCTGTTTACAACAAATTGTTTGTAAATAGGTTTTGAAACAACTAAATATAGCAGTACAAAAATCGGGTGTATTTTGCCTTACCTCTTATTCCTTTCATTTCAGTTATATGCACAAAATTTTTGTTATATTGTACGAGGGTTGGAACTTTAATAGTGGCAACTATTTATTTACAAGGAATACAAAAGTGATTCATGTTACCATGTTTTACAGTCCTTCAAATATAGTCGCCAGCATTGTGTACAACCCGTTTCCAACAATGTGGAAGGTCGCAGAATACCTGTAGCAGCGCCTGTTTTGTTGATAGTTGAATGGACCGGTAACTGCCTAAGAATCTCAGGAACAGTTTCGAAGCGAGTGCATGAAGTGGTTCCTTCATCTTGGATTAAGTCATAGTCACAGGGCTTAGATCTGGGGAGTATGGTGGATGGTAAGGCACTTCCCAGCCCCATCGCTTGAACAAATCAGTCACACCTTGTGCTGCATGCGACCGAGCATTGTCATACAAAATGAGAGGAGCGTTCTGCAGAAAGTGTCGCTTTTTTCTCAAAGCTGGTCGGAAAACGTGCTCCAAAAATGAGCAGTAATACTGCGCAGTGACGGTCTGCTGTGGGGGGAACGGTATGCGTTAGGATGACACCATCACAGTCGTACACGAGAATCACCATAACCTTCACATTGCTGGGGTTCTGACGAAATTTCGAACGTCGTGGTGACCCATGATGATGCCATTCTTTTGATTGGCGTTTCAGTTCTGGTTGGTACGATCGGGCCCAAGTCTCATCCAGCGCAATGATACGGTGTAAAAAAGCATCTCCTTCACGCTCCAGGTGGGTTCAGGTAGCATCGTATTGTAGCCATTTCTGCATTTCCATCAATTGATGTGGAACCCATCGTGAAGCAATTTTTTTCATGCACAGGCGTTCCTTCAGAATGTGCAGCACAGTTGTATGCGCTAATCCTGTTTGTCTGGCCAGCTGACGAATCGTTTAGCGGAATCACTGTCCATTAGGCGGCAACAGCTTGCACGTCTGCATCGCTGACATCGTTCGACCTGCGCAGCAGTCTGCCACGTTTTGGCATCCTTCATTGAATGCTTTCACCATCTTGCTACAGTCTGTAAGGTATGCAGATTCCCCGCAACCCTTGAAGCCCTTGATGACACTGTCATGCTGCAGACCTCTGGCACATTCAATTTTTATCCAACATCGTTGTTCTTGTTTGAAAACATCCTGACAACACTTACTTTAGACCAGGAGCTAATACAAGGATCCGTTCTTCGCATCACTCCACATGCGCGCGACGTAAGCAGGACGAGTCTTTTTGCTGAGAGGTAAGGTAGGTATGTAGTTTACATGTGCTACACGTGACACTATTTGGTTTTGTTGCATAGCATTTTTTCAGCTGTGTTGCCACTATTAAAGTTCCAACCCTCGTATATCCATAACATTTAGGGGCTCTAATTTAGTTATATTAATATCTAGTAATTAATGTCCTTTTGGCCACTCTGCTTCAGGCCAAGGCCAGAACAGGAACCCAATGGGACATCATAGCATGATGATGAAACTGACAGTGTTAAACAACTCTCCCAGGGTTCATAGCCACATTTTAGTTAAAAAATAAGCACCTGTCTAATTACATCATACACAACTGCATAACCTTAAAAATTAGACTTGTAATTTAAAATATGAGAAATGAAGTACTTATTAAGAGAGAATAAGCATTACCTCAACCATGGAAAATAATTACTTTTTTTTTTTGTTTTTAATTTTAAATAATAGTTCAATTTACAGAACTAGTTTACAATGAGAGGAAAAAAAAACTATGAAGAACTAAACTATATTACAAGATTTAATGATGAAATTTCAGTTCAAGATAGAGAAAATAAATAATATAAGGCATATTTATTGTATTCGCTTGGAACCTAATAATAAATACAATTTATTTTTCCACTCATACTGATATTTAAATAATTTAAATATAAATTCTGAACATTTTCTAAATTTTCATTGTATATCTGTTTTCTCTTAACAGATATTGCAAGCAAAGTAATTTAAGTAAAAAAGAGGAATATTTCTGAAATCAGAAGACAGAAATTTGCTTCATGCAGTCATCTTTAACAGTAAAAGCTTAACTAACCCGCATACTTGGAATTGGCGAATATTCGGACAGTCGAGCGTAACTTGAAGGAGCGGAGCAGTAGACTGTAGCCGCTCTTTAGATTTTGTTGCTAAATAAATGCTTTTGACATTTCAATATATGCATCATATAAAAATAAACCAACGGAACTAAAAAATATTCTGCTTAGCAAGCACAGTAAAACTCTTTCAGTTAGTAAGTGTTCATAAACAAATCTCGGGCTGAACATCAAAATTAATTATCTCTGCAAAATATCGCAAATGTTATTGCACAATATGTACGCCGTAATTCTTCCCTACGTGATATTACGCAATCGGAATCAACAACTGCCAGTATTGGGAGAATAAAGAACTAAATAACTGGGGTGTTTTTCATTCTAATTTTCAACAGACGGCATTAAATTTCTGGAATAGAATCATTCTTCACTTGGGTTGGTAGACCGCAGAACTTTTAGTCCTATTCAATCCAGATTGGAAAGTGACCAAAAAAGAAAAAAAATCCGTTGCTTGTTTTGCAGCGAACTGTAACAGTTTCAATATTTTGCGGAGAAAGGGGAGACCTCCCAACCTTCGTACTGCATAATATATTGGCCAAAAAAATGAAATTATTTTGACTATTCGATTACTTTCCCTTTATTTAAGCCATTCCGAATATTATTCCTTAGAAAGGTAATCTGTGTTAAAACACAACCATTTTTGGAAGTTTACTATACTTACGCAGTTACTGCAACTATGTTATTATAAACATTCATACATATGCTCATAATATAAGCATAACGATCATAATAAACACAAATATGAACTGACCAAGCAGAATGAGAATGCAAATTTTAAGGATCTTGATAGAAATTTAAACGTGTGTAGTATTTGGGTGGGAGGAAAAGAATGCCGAATGTAGAGGAATTTTCTACCGCTTTCGCAATTCTTTGACCAATAGAACGATGGGCACCTGTCTGTACTCTTTGTGCACACCAAAGGTTATGTTAATGCAGAGAAAGAGGGAAAAGCTATTTCCGGGAGTATGACTCACCATCTGACATTCCATATTAGGAAGAAAAGTTGTTTATTTAGTTTTGGCTTTGGTACAGGGAAAAATTGCACGTTCATAAAAAAAAAAAAAAAAAAAAAAAAAAAAAAAAAAAAAAACACTAAAAGCAAAAAATAAGCACTAAAAACAAAAAAATAATGGCTTTAAAGAAAAAGTAAGCACCTATAAGGGCCTTTATATTTTATTTTCAAATATAAGGACTTATAAGCACCGCTACGAACCCTGTCTTCTACCGCAACATCTGGAACAATGTCTTTACTGGAGGCCAAGTAAAGCTACTACATATTCATTTGATAGGCTTAGTATTTGATATACAGCAGACACAGTGGCATAAATGAACTTATTTAGTGGCCAAGAGGTTAAAGGCAACTGAATACTGGTAGCTCATCCCAGGTTCTAACTCAAGCGAACATGATGGCTGCAAGGTCGGTTTTTATAGTTTTCTGCTATGTGTGATGTGACTATGACCGAATTTCCCTTAGAAAGTCATCCACAAAGGCATTCTTTCCATTGGGCAGACAGCCCTTGTACATCTTGACAATTAACCTCATTAACCAAATCCAACAAGATGGTGGGCATGGTCTCTTGGTGTGTGTGTGTTTCACCATTAGGTTGGAAGCTGGTGAATGGTGAAAGGGGAAGCAGCAGAACAGTCAGCCACTTCCTAGAGTTATTAGTAGGACAGTAGGTAACAGTTTGAGTTTTGCTGCCATTAGTTATATACCTTGCTATACTCTTCCCATTGCCTATATTTTGCTAATGAGACTCATTTTCTTTTTGTTCTACACTTTTTCTTTTTGTTAATGGTTATGTTTGCTCAGAGACAATGTCAGTGAATGTTCATGTCCTTGGCTGTTCTGCCTTAGGTCAGGTCAATACCCAATTTTTGTTTATTTTCTGCTTAAATTATATATGTTCAAGGGTTGTCCAAAATAATAAAAAATATACTCAAAATAGTGAATTTGTTCATATCATTTGTACAGTAGACAGTAAAAATAGTCACAGCTTTTTTATATGAATATTTTACAGATAGTCTCAAGATTATGTCGAATTCCAAATTTCTGTTATTATTTGTAAGTTCATGGTGAAGGAAAATGAAACCGAGTTTCAAAGAGGTCAGATTGTTGGTGCATTCTATAACCTCAGCTGTAAAATTATCAAGTATATCGACAGACATTGTGTTACGTCATGACAACATACAATACTCTCAACACAGCACTGCAAGGCTTCATTGTGGAAGGAAAATAAAACTTTCTGACCAGAAGGAGGTTATTCTGAGTGGTACGGGTTTTGGGATCTGTCATCATGCATTTAAACAGCATTTATCAGCTAAATTTGTAAATTTACTTATTTCCTAAATTTACACTCATTAAGGTGATCATCATTTCATTTCTAAATTTACATTCATTAAAGTGACATTTATATTTAAAGAAAGAAAAATATCTTAAATAATATGCTAATACATACCAAGCGACAAAAAATATAATGACCAGATAAAACCGGTCATGCTATTCGGAGGGTTAAATAGGATTTGCAAAACAACAGCAAACAATCTCTAATGACAGATTTTTTAAAACCTAAACCTAAAATTTAAATCAAAAGTGCAGTGGAATTTATCGATGAAACAAGCTCGGATCCATAAGTGATGATGAATAAATTTGCAAGCATAACATTATGCATCTTTTTGATTTTGACTTGAAATAATAATATTTTTATATTTTATGTGATGTTGAATTTTATTTATATCACATGTCTTTCTGCTATTGAAAATTTCGAAGGTAATGATAAAAACTTCCTCCAAAGTTAACTTACTACACGTAAACCATAATCCAAATCTTAAACTCTACTGACAGCCCAAAAGTTGTTAATTTGGACACCCATAATCCGGGCTTCAAAGCTACAAACTTTCTGCGCATGCGTCTTTACGGCTGCGAATATGCGTGTGCGCATGTCCAAAATACGTTTACGCATGCGCGTTTAATGTATAATGAACGGTATAAGCTAAGCTGAAATTATCTAATTCAGTTAATGTTGCAGATTGCGTTGTTCCTTAATCTTCAGATTGGATCCGGCTTATTATTTTTTGCAGACTGTTAGAGCAATTTTATAAAAGTAAAAAGTAAGCTTGAACTTTCAATTATGTCAAATAGAATTTCCGATATATATTTACTAATATGTACAAAGCGAAAGTATGTTTCGAAGTCCATTAAACAAAAAGTGGAATTGCTGCAAAAAATGGATAAAGGCATATCATTTGTTCGTTTAACCATTCCGAAATCTGTTTATCAATTTCACGCTGCTCTGCGGTGGGGGGACGCTGCGGCGCGCAATGAACTGGAAGTCGATCTGTCAGCACTATCCTTATCTTCAGGGCAGTTGATTTTATTTTATTTGGGTTATAATTCCTTACTAAATGTAGTATTTCATCTCAATGTACTCTGTCTTTGATATGATTTAAATCGAATTCCTTGTCATTATAATTCGCTTCCGATAGCGAAGAAAGTACAGTAAACAAATAAATATTAAGCTTTTTTACGTAAATTTTGATACCCTTTAGATCATGATTGTTCTTTATTTCCTAAATTACTGTTTCATATTTTTAATGTTATAATTTCTGCATGCCATCTTACCAGATTTAAACTGATGATCTATAATCCGGAATCGCCGAAGTCCCGACGAGTCTGGATTAACGACTTTTGACTGTACTTTACCAGCAACCATTCAACTGCAAACCCACACAAGTCTATCAGAAACACCATTCTTCATACGAGTTCTCATATCAGCTCCTCATTTCGGACATGCCAAACTCAGTTTTAAAAGTCCCGACTTCCACAGAAATTCCAAAAATAAACTTCGATTCGCATAAACACACCCGTGAACAAAAGACTTGTTAACAACTCCAACATGTATTTTCTTTTAATACTAAATTTACTTTGCACACAATCTAAAATATGTGAATGTTATCTTCCCATCACGTTTCTCATTGCAACATAGGCCATTTCAAAACAAGCACAACACGAATCAATGGGCAATTAAACCACTGCAGCAAAAGAGTTAAAAGTTTCAATGTCAAAAGGGTTGCTGTACAAATAACATCGTCCCCCAAACCATCCCACAGCACGCAATCCTGCCAAAAACCAGCGCAGAACACATATTGCCACATTTGGTGATCTTAGGGCCCCACAATTTATACTCTTGTACAACATAAATAGGATCAGTATTTAGATTACCTCAAAGCACATAAGAGGGCTGTCTGCTTAAAGAGAGGCATGCCTTCATGGACAATTTTTATGAGGAAATAGCTTATACTCACATTATACATAAAAGGTATAACTCCCATGTAACTAGGCTAGTCACTAGGATTTGAAATTGGGTCAAACAACCAGCATTCAGCAGTTCCACTGCTTACTCACTGGTGGAATTCTTTGCAATATGACGAGATAATAAATAATAGTTAAACTGTGACCAATAAAACTAAGAAATTCAGATGCATATAAAAAATTGAACAAAAATAATTGAAAAACTGATACACATCCAATTATAACAAAGTACTTTTCCAAGACTAATATGAATATTAGATTTTTACTACTGCAAAACTATTCATTTTTAAATCAAATAATCACAGCAAAAAAAAATTTAGATAGCTTTAAAAAAATTGAACATTATGTCTTTAAAATTTATTGCATACCTATATGTTAAATTGACAACTTTGTTAAAAAGAAAGGCTCTTCCAGTTGCTCCGGTAAATCTTGTACTGATCAGTTCATTTCTGTTTGTTAAAATGGTATCGCAACCTGCACAAGAAAACATGCGGGATCCTCCAATATGCTCAAGGAATATTCGACCCATCCTTTATGTCTGACAAAGAAAGCAAAAAAATAAGAATCCTAAGAACACAAGATATTACAACTAGTATGTAAAAAAATTTTAAATATCAGTTTAAAAAATTTTTTGACATTAAGTTATTAAACCGTTCCATGCATTGATGGTTTGGCTAATCTTTGGAATATGGTAACAGGTAGTTTGGCGACATTTTGGTAAAGTGATAAAGGTTATTAGCTAGGACTTTAGCAGTGTACATGGATAAAGTCAAGAGTGTGCGCAATGCCATTTTTGTGCAATGCTGAGATATTTTTTTTTAAGTGAAAATAGGTCGACGTGTACATGGATACCGTGTATGTGCAATTCTTAAAAACGCGGCAAGCAGTGGGCGATTCTGCACTTTCTGCCAATTTCGCACCTAATCTTCGTCATGATTAAGCACTTTTGTTCCATAAAAGTTCTAACATAAGCGTAATTTGGCTAGCAGATTGTTGGGAAAAGATGTTGAGTAAAAAAAAAAACATTCCTTTACTTTGTGAAAACAAAATGGCGTCCAAACAAAAACTAGCAGGTTGCTGTAGCAGGGTTGGTCGCCAAATTTTTGCCAAAAAATCGCCAAGTTACCATAATCCAAAGATTAACCGATGGTTTTTGAAGTAATTAAAACAAAAATCATAATACATAATTTCACACACAAATTAATATAATAAGAATTAGAGAAAATACAAACTGTCCAGAATTTTACTAATTAGTAGTTTAATAAAACTAATAAAATGTCCTAATGTGTAATACAGTAAACATAAATTTTTATTTCTAGCAGCTTCAGATTTAATGATCAGATACTGGAAAACTTTCCAGTTTGTCAAAAACAGCAACACACAAAGTCACTTTAATCATTTAAACTTACACACAGATATCTATTGGTAAACAAACATGGAGGAAAGTTTTACTATGTTTAACATTTTAATGATATCCATATCTTTTTCCCCTATGCATTCATTAACAAGAGCCAGATTTTCACTACTAGAGTGACTCAACTGCCTCATTGTCAAAAAGGACTCCCTGTAGTTACAACTTTACCGTAAAAATAAATAACTACAGCAAAATACCCCAGCAGTCCTCTTTTTTGTAAATATAAATACAAAGAGTAAATATAAGTATAGAAATAGCACTTATAGCTGCAATTTACATAACTTTCAAAACATTTATCACATTATATTGTCATCAGTGCCATCTCTATTCAGAGTTAAAAACAAAGAAACAAGTTTTACTGACTTTTTAATTGTTAACTGATTTCTTGTTGGGTGCAATTCGATAACAATCTTTCAATCTCTGCTGATGTAATTCTTACTATGCTTAACATTTTTTGTGATATCCATATTACCCCCCCCCCCGGCCCTATGCATTCTTTAAGAGCCAGATTTTCACTACTAAAGTGAGTCAACTGCTTCATTGTCAAAAAGGACTCTGCAGAAAGGTGGAATAACAGATTTCAAATGTAACATTGGAAAAGGCAGTATCCGCATATTTTTCTTTTACCAATTCCTTCCTTTTTCACTTGCTGATAAGGCTTCAGTTTTACACTTTGGCAATAAAATATGTGTTGATGAATGTATATTTTCATCAAGATTTTTTAATGCCATTTTCAAGATGTTTTCCAAACTTTTAAAAGCTTCAGCAATGCTGCAATTATCCTTCTTGATTTCATCCAAAGTGACTGAAACTGGCTTCCTATGAAGTAAAATCTCACATTTGGTTTGACTGCCATATTAAGAACATTCAACTGAATCATCTTATCTATTTCAATTTCTTCCACAGTCTGCACAAAAACTGGAGAGTTCTTTACAAAGCTTTCAAAGAATTTGCATAATGAGTTGCAACACATTTTAGGAGGTGAGTTTAAACCAATTCCATTGTACTCATTAATTTTAGCTCATGCAAGTTGGCGATTTAAAAAATATTTTATGACTTGAGAATAACATGCAATAACATATGATATATTTAAATCCTTGCCAATAAATTAAGTATATATGTTAACTAAACATAAAAGATAAGTTGAAAACTATTTTCCGTTTTTTCATTTGTCTGATTATAACTATAGACTTTTGACTTAAATTAGCTTTCAACTTTTTCAATGGATTTAAACTTTCTTTTCTATACAGTATTAATGACGTATTTATAGTTTCAAAAATTACCGATTTATGGTAGATATTAGACAAACCGTCTAGCACCATACATACTGTTTGATTAATTAAAATGTAACCATATTTGTCTATTTGTTCTTTATGTATCATTAATAATTTACCACTTAAAGACACTAGATGGAGACAGCACCTCCGTTAATTTTATGAAATGAGTATTCATATACTGTAAAATAATACATTAGTAGGGAAAAACTTATCTACTTATTTTAAACGATATGGTGTTTTTATAACACATTTACTTACATTATACATCATGTCTTTTGAATTAGTGTACTTTTATCAGATTTATGTTCGAGACTAGATGGGCATGGAAGTGACAGTTCTTTTTCCCAAAATAATGGCTTAGTTAAAATTGTTTCAAACAATTTTATTTCTTTGAAAAGCTTCTATTTTCGTATTCTGTAATTAAAATCTCTTTAAGAATATTTCATATGCTTATCTAAACCAGGGGTTTCCAGCCCTATGCCCATGGGCACCCACCGCCGTGCGATCACGATAAAAATGTTTTAGTTATCAATGTGAAAGTTCTATGTGCAAGTTTTCTCATTTTTAATGAAACAGAAATTGCATCCAACACAGATACCACCACAAAGTGAAATGCAATGATCTCTTTCTTTGGAACTACTTTGATATGCACCCTCAAGTTGCCAAATTTCTCGCCAACACGCTGCCATATTACTATCTAAATTTTTTGTCTATATTTCGAACTTTAAGCCTAAAATGTCTCCAAAAAGCGGTTTTCTACCTGCAAAAATTACGTTTTTGAACACACGATTTAAGCTAAAAATCCGAAACAAAAACAAAAAATTTAGATAGCAAAAACGTAAAGTTTCTAACCAAAAAATATTTGACAAGAATCCATGTACACAGCGACATGTTTTAACACAAAAAAAAGTCTATGAATGGCACAATGTAGGCAACGAACGAATTTACAAACTACGCACACCTTGCTTTAATAAATTAACATAACAACAATAAATTTCAAAGAATACCATGTACACAGCATCCTGTTTAAACTTTAAAAAAACATCTATGAATTGCACAATTTAGGCAAGGAACGAATCTACGAACTACGCACACCTCGCTTTAATAAATTAACATAACAATAAATTTCAAAGAATACCATGTACACAGCATCCTGTTTAAACTTAAAAAATCATCGACGAACTGCACAATTTAGGCAAAGAACAAATCTACGAGCTACTCACACCTCGCTTTAATAAATTAACATAACAATAAATTTCAAAGAATACCATGTACACAACATCCGGTTTAAACTTAAAAAAACATCTACGAATTGCACAATTTAGGCAAGGAACGAATTTACGATCTACACACACCTCGCTTTAGTAAAATAACATAATAACAATAAATTTGAAATAATACCATGCACACAGCATTTTGTTTCAAAAACAACAATAACGACAGAAATTCATACTAAATAACCAATGAACATAACATTCTACAAAATAAGAACAAGAATAAAATAAAATGCACTTACCATGAATTAATGCTTTTTCGAGCAGCAGAAATACAAATTTCATACCGCCACGTAATCACTATCGTATTTACATGACAGCCAGACACACTCCAGATAATTCATACTATGGTTCACAAATAAATAAAATCACAAATCCCTACTTCTATCATACAGCAGCCATTAAAAATAATCTCCCAGACCCTTCTTTCCACACCCCTCCAAATACCCCTACTACCCCTCAACAGGATGGCCACAATATTTCCTTTTGCCGAACTTCAATTCAACAACTTCTACCATTTTTTCTTTCCCTCCCATCTTCTCAGACACAGACGCGAATCAACGAGCTCCAGCTAAAGATTGTTCAACGTCAACAGGGTTGCCATAGAACACGCATTCGCGCCAAAAACAAGCGCAGAACACATATCGCCACATTTGGTGAAATTAGGGCGTATATCAGAGTTGTACCCTTTCTTTTTGTGCATGTATTATTAACTCTATCCAATTACAAATTCACCTTGAAAAAATAAATCGTGCCAGCCATCCAACAGATATTCTAGAATGAGCTCTTAGGGACAAAAAAGTTGGGAACCCCTGATTTAGACCTTTAGTTTTAACACATTTCCCATTATTTAAAAAGAAATGAGAACATGATTTTAATTAGATTATTTTTAAAACTGCTGTTTAAAATCATAATTTAAATCAATGATTTGAATCACTAACACTCTAATTATAATTTTAATTAAAAAAAATCTCATTTTTAGATCATAATTATAAAATATGCCTTTATGTCTAAAATATTTTTCTCAAAGCAACATCACTAATACAAATAATTATTAAAAGAAAATACGACGGAAGTGAATAAAAATTATTTAAATAAATTTTACAATTACAAAATCTTTCTGTTATATTAATTTATTATTTTTAATAATAATTTTGACATTTTAAATTATGGAGAGACACTACAAAATTAATTTCTGACTATACAAATTTAAAATTTGTAATACAGTAAATATAAATTTTTATTTCTAGCAGCTTCAGATTTAATTCTACAAATGCACTCCCCCCCCAAAAAAAATACACTGTGCATTACATTTGTTATTCTGTCTCTTCTGAAAATTTTTAAATAAATTTTTTCTTACTGAGGGTTATACAGTCCTGTCATGCAGCATTTAGAATTGTCTATACAGTTATTCAGGTATTTTTCTATATGTATTATAATTATTTAAATAATAGTTTTCACAAATAAAATGCATACCACAAAATTTACTTTTGAAAAGTCAACTTAGAAACTTATATTTTTCTAAACTAAACATATCTACATACATATATATATGTTATGGTGA